TGGGGGAGTGGAATGGGGAAGATGCATGTTTTAAATTGCCAAATTGTCGATCATTTCTTTTGTTGATGTCCGAACAGCGAGGAATATAATATTTTTTCTTTTGTCACAAAGAGACTCCCCCCTTTTTCTAATTATGTGTAATACTCTCTCACTCACTCTTTTTTTTTTTTTTTTTGCGCGCTCCATCTACTCTTCTATTTGCTATACTCGGAAAGAGCTGCAACAGATAATCCGGTATTATTTTTCTTTCAGTTGTTGTCGCCTGTTTTTTTTTTCTCCCCCCGTTCTCTTAAAGAACCCCGCTCACACTCTTTCACACAAAGAACCACTACATACCTTTTTCTCTTTCTCATCTTTTTTTTTTTTACTTTATTTTATTTTTTTCTTTCTCCGCGGTATTATTATTATTATGTCTGCCTCGTTTACATACGTCAAAGAATCCTACATTTTCAACAAAAAGACTCTGGTCTATCATGGTTTGCTCGAAAGCAGTTCACAAGCCGCCGACCTAGAACCAGTCTGGTCCATGCATTTGGGAGATAACATTGCCTCGTTGAACGCTGGTCGCCAGGGAGCCGTGATTATGACTGCAACAATAGACCGTGTACGTAAGGACCAAGCACAATTCACTTATCAGGGCAAGATGACTAACGGCGGTTTTGACGTAACAAAATCTACATGGGCATTCCACGACTTTGACGGCAAGCGATATGACTGGATGGCGGGTATAATGCAAAACTGCTGGAAATTGGAAGACTCTGAAGGACACGTTGTTGCTCAGTATATTGGCATGTCCCGCGATTATAAAGTCAAAGCCACCCTCTCTTTTCAGACCAAGGTCAGCGAATCCCTCATCTCGCTAGTTCTTTTAACTACTAAACTTATCAACTACGAAGAAGCTTCAAGGCGTTAATACAATACTTAATTTATTCTCTTTTTTCCTATTGTGTCTTCGGGTCGTGGTTTAGCTCCCAGTCCTAGTAAACTAGGTCGGGCACTATTAGTAATAACAGTACTGTTGTCGGTGTCTTCTTTCCATCCCATCCCACGCAACATGGCCGCTCCAAATGACTCTATAGGTACTCGCTCATACGTTTCCTCATCCACATCGCTGTCATCCTCCTCCACTGGTGCCGGTGGTGCTGGTCCAATACGGCTATCCTGTTTATCGCGTGCTTTGGAAGTGGACGCCATTATTTGTAACCCAAACTTTTCATTCACCGTGGCCACCGGCGGCGGCTTTTTCATCCAATCGGCGTTACGCTTTACCGGTATCACTAGCTCTTCTTTGGTCTCGCCATTGCCAAGAACAACGTCGCCTTGTGCGTCTACTATTGCCACCGTTTTATTGCTTGTTGATTCGGAAGTCGGGTCGTCAAACCCGC